ATTTTCAATTATTTTCAATTATTTTTCAATTATTTTCAATTGATATTAAACTCCAGATTTAACTTTAAAGGAAATCTCGTAGGAATTTCTTCCAAACGGAATGTCTAGAGCAGAAATTCGTTCTGGATCCTCCACTTCGATCGCAGGTTTCGATATAATTTCAATTAATTTCGCTTAATATTGAAAGAAGATTCAGATCGAACGGAAATTTCAGTGGTTATATTTTAAGTTAAACCGAGTGGAATTGCTATTAATAATCCAATCTCGATCTAACAGACATCGATCAAATACAATTAATTTCCATACGATCAAATCAATCGATTCTAATCACACTTAACTTCACTCGCAATGAATAATTTAATTTCAATTAACCTTAGATGGTATCGAGAAATCAGATTTGAATAACAAGTAACTTTGCTCGCGTGAAATCGCTCGATTCGCAATTTCCCTAGGATTCTCAACATTTTCGAGTAACAAACTTAAATTTGATTCCAAACTTATATCCGTGAAAATACCTGATCGCAAGACAAAGAGCTTGCGACTTCGGTTGCTGCTCGAATTCAAGAGAGAACGAACGACAAGTAATAGTAAAAAGAGAGGCAACATTACCGAAAATAGTCAGAAATTATTGCTAAAAAAATTTCGCCAGGCTCGCCGAAGCTTTCCGTAATTATTCGAAAGGAGAACACCTTAAACTCGGCCAGAAACGACGCGGACGGGAACCCTGGGCCTCGTAACGTTCAAAAATATTTATGCGGGGCAAATATTTGTAAATTTTCGCGCGTACCGTTGTAAAACACTTGCTCCGCGCGACGTTAGATGCGCCTTTATCGAGGATCTACGCAAATTTGTCGTGCAAATATTCCAACGAGCCCACAGCATGGATGGGCGGGGAGGGGAACGGGGGGTTATTAATGTATTCCAAGCAGGCCAGAGCGTATGGTACGTGCATGGTCTGACGGAACGATTTGGCAGCGTTGAACCGCGGTATCTGCCAATCGGTGGTGAGAACTGCATTAAATCCGCTTGGGAACATTGAATTTTCCAACGGTGGCGCTTGTACGTTGATATTGGCCCGTAAAACGATGACGATCGCTGGTCTGAGGCGATCCATTAAGAAAATTGAAAAAATTAGACATTCGGCTGGCTATTTTATGTGTATTTTTCGCGTGGAATGTGTTGTTACTGTTGGCAATGAATTTTCGTTGGGGAAAGAAAAGTTTGCCTGCTCTAGAATTGTAGCGGCTGGTCGAGAGTGGATTTTAGAGCAGTTTTAGAGCAATTTTAGAGCAGGTAGAGGATCAATAGGGAGTCGTGAAAACATGTTTCAAATATAATGATAAAATCATGATTGAATTGTAAAGAAAAAGAGTGGAACGTTCAATTACTTGCTGTAGAATTATAGCAACTGATCCATCTTGTATTCTAGAACAATTTTAGAGCAATTTTAGAGCAGATAGAGCGTCAATACAGGCTCGTGTATTCGTTTCTATGATAATACGACAACAATGTATCTGAATCGTAAAACTATACGAGTGAAATATTAAGTTTTCCTGCTCTAGATCTAGAGCAACGAGTCAGGATTGGATTTCAGGGCAATTTTAGAGCAGGTGGAGTACCAATAGTGACTCGCGCACACGGTTCAAGGATAATAACGCAACAATGTATATGAATTGTAAAGAGAAAAGAGTGCAATAGTAAGTTTTCCTGCTCTAGATCTAGAGTAACATGTCGAAACTGGTTTTCAAAGTAATTTTAGAGCAAGCCTAGTGCTAATAGAGGCTAATAGAGGAAGTTTG